GGCCCCTGCCTTGTGGAATCTTCTCACCCCCCCCCCGGAAGTGAGATTAGCCCCATCCCTCTTAACATTCCACAAGTCCCTCAAGACCTGGCTTTGTGATCAGGCCTGGAGTCCCAGTGGACCAGGGAGATTTTACAGGGGCTCCCTTACTGTGGTTAACATCGTTGTCTCCTGTTGTGTGTGTTTTTATAATTTTTATAGCTTTAATGATTGCTTTATATGTATTTATTGTTTTTTTAATTGAGTGTTGTACACCGCCCAGAGTCACTTTTTTGTGAGATGGGCAACTATATAAATATGATCAATCAATCAATCAATATAAAAGAATTCAATGCCTCATTCTTGTGGGGAGGCTGGGATGGATTCCCACATTGTGCTATAAACGATAACACTGTTGATTCAGTTTTGCCTTTGCATAGTATGTGATTTGTGTTGTGGTTTGTGCCTGAGTATGATGAATATGAATCCAGCTAATTGTGATGCATTGCACAAATCATGATTAAGCAAATTGTAATTTAGGACACATGAACCAATCTTCACATCTGCCTATTTGCCTGCTGCTGACCAAGTACCAATTGCTGGACAGTGGTAAGGGTACTGTTCTCTCTTTTCATGGTCTTCTACCTAAACTGGAATTGAATCTGAGCCAGACAGCCCCTTCAAACAGACAATACCTATCTCTGATAGCCATTCAAAAAATAAGACACTTTCATCCTGTTTTGGTTCCAACCTTGCCAGTTGAAAGCAGTAGCAGAAGTTTAGGGTTTCTGCCTCATCTTTCATAACCTTTCCTGCAAAGTCTTTGATCCTTTCCACTTACCCTTCTTAGCTTTCAAACTACTTTGTGAAGTATTATCATCAGTACTATTATCTCAGTATGGAATTTACAAATAACATTTTTCCTACTAGGACTCAGGAAAAAGCTGGTACCTCAGTTGAAGATGACAGCAAATTTTTCTTAACACAAGTTGCAGATCAAATTATCCAGGCATCCACTTACTTGCCAAATTTGAGCATCCCTGATACATAGGTTTGCCAGTGAGCACAGTAAAACAGGAACATCCCAAAGAAGGAAGAGAAAAAGAGCCAGTCTGGATCTGTTCCCAAGCGAACTGCAGTGCAGGCTGCAATACCAATGAATACTGAAAAGGCCAAATAAGTTAGGTTATATATCATACCCGTTCTGGAGAATATATATAAATTAAGAGTTTGTGTGTAACCAGGAACTACTTTCCATTAATAAAGTAAAATGAAAGCTACACTCACAGTAAAAAAAACAAGAACCTTGCACTAACTAGTAGATTCTACCTATCTTAAGTTAATGTGTTTTCTTACCACTGCTTTATGAAAGACACCATGTAATTTAAAAAAAATACCTATGAGCTGAGCTTCCATAAATATTACTCTGCATTCCAGCAATTGTTGTTAATATGCTCTTCATTTAATCTGAACAATTAACAACCCACTTCCACCCACTTTACTTCATATGTGTCAGGTTAGTTTGAGGAACCAGAAGACACTATTTTGGACCTTGAGTCCAACTTCCAACCTTGTACAGGAATCCAGTTTAAAGCACGCCGGACAAATGATTGTCCAGCCTCTGCTTAAAGTGAGTCACCCACTTCTTGGATAAGTGGTTCCACTCAAATTTCTCTTACTATTAGGACATTTTTGAAAATATCCTACCTGAGAGTAACTCTATGAATTAAACATTTGAAAAGACTAATTCCAGTCTGGTTTCAGATGAAAACATTGGACAGAAATTGCCTTGGTTGCCCAGAAAGAACATTTGTTCTACAGGTGGAAGGACTGCCTTCCTGGGCTGGCTCTGCACAGTGGGAATTGTTCAGCCCTTTGGATTTGGAGTGTGCAAGGGCCTTCACATAGCAAGTGGCAACTCAAAAACAGCTGCATTTTTTCCCAAGACACATGACTGCCCTCTGTAGTTGCCATCAGATGTTGGAAAAAGACACCTACTTATGGTTTAAAGAGCTGCAGATCGGTGTAACATGTTTCACATGCTTCCATGAGCCTGTTGCCCTTCAGATTGGAAGCACTGCACAGGCCTAGTATTAAGGTGGTTTCACTTCCATCTGAAGGGTTATAGGATAAGCTTGGGAGATGGGGGTCTGTTGAACCATGGCAAATATCTTAGGAAGGCCTGGACTGAATTCACAGAGGGAAGCAATCCTATATTTGGATTAGAAGAGGGAACTACAGGGGTTAGTCTACAGGGGCTAGACTAAAAGACCTCCTTCCAACTCTATGATTCTATGATATTTCAGTGCTGGAAATGCAAGACTGAGCTAATTAAGAAAGTTACCTGTTGAAATAGAATCGCAGCCATGGTCAAACAATTCTCCCAAAGGAGAACTGCTATTTGTTCTTCTGGCTTGCTTTCCATCGATCGCATCCATAGACTGGTAAATAAAGAGTCCTAATGCACAAAAGAGGAACACCCATGGAGGAGCCTGAAACAAATATACAGAAACCATCTGTTCTGCCATTCTTATCCAATGACTATAATAAGCATAAAGTGGCCTAGAACATCTATTATGACATTCCCCTTAATCACTGTTTGGTCTTTGGCAAATCTCATTTTAAATGTGTTTGTAACAAAACCAGTGAAGGACATGCCCCTTCAATCTGCTAGCTGGCCTTGTACTTTGCATGCCAGATATGAACACAGATCAGACAGGTGAGGAAGGTTACCAGAAATGTCATTTAAATCATTGCCAGTACTCCAGAATGGCAAGAGTTAAACCTTTTTGATTTTTCTCATCTTGATTAAGTAAAATTTGTGACAGCTGTAGTTGTTGTTAATCACTAGGGCAACTTTTTCCAATTTGGTGCTTTCCAGATTCATCAGAACGCTCAACTTTGTCTTTTGGAATTTCACTCATCTCAAAAGGCAAAATGTTTAATACATTTTACAATTTCCCCAGTTTTATAGGAAATTTTAAGGAAAAAAAATGGAAGTGGGAATTACTTTTAAATCCCTCCACATTGCCCATCCTAAGCCTGGATGACCAATGAGGGAAGGTCGGGTGTAAGGCTAGCAACCTGACTCATTAAAAAATGTTCCCTGCCATTGAAACAACAGGTGCAAAAACATGATCTGATCAAAATTGTTGGAGAGCAACTTTTACTGTAAAAAACAGCAACTGTACTGAATAGCAAACAAGACCTAGGTCTAAGTCTTCCACATATTTTTTTATTTAGCAAATTTATATGGTTTCCCACATTAACCAAGTAACCATTTTGATTTAGCATAAAGTGCAGGATAAGCAGTTAAATGGGCATATAAAGAAAACTCCCAAATGGCCCCCAAAACATGTCTCCACCCTCCCCAAAATCTTAAGAGTGGCCCTTGACCACAAAAATGGTTGCCCAATCTAAATTCTAAATTACGTTATGTTCTAAATTAGGTTCTGTTCTAAATTATTAATCCCCCTATAGGAGTTGGGAGCTGGTATCTTTCTTGAACAAATCCAACAGAGTCTCAACTCAATTTTTAGAAAATGTTTTGGGAACCCAAGCCTTAGTCACCCTACAAACTCATCCAGCTTAGTCTTGTTACACTGGGGCAATGGCTTTCCATGCTTCTAGTCTTGAGTTCAATACAAAGGAATGAACCTAGAATCTTTTCCATGCAAAGCTTCTATCTATCTATCTATCTATCTATCTATCTATCTATCTATCTATCTATCTATCTATCTATCTATCAATCATAGCAATTTATATAGCTGCCCATCTCACAATCAGAATCATTTAATTTGACCTTTGCATATTTGTAGTCCAGTCACATATACCAAGTGTGTGTTATTATACTGCACATACCCCCTGGTTGGTGGGACGCTGGTAATATTATCTTGGCTTGCAAGATAGTCTCAAGTTTAGAGATCCAAGTTTCCATAAAATAGCATGAGTATGCTTGGGGTAAAACTGGGCTTTGGTTGTGCTTGTGGCATATTGGCTAAAATATGTCATAACTGGTGCTGGGTAAGATTAAAGCTGATAACCTAGTCTACAGTTATTCTATCTTACTAAAAAGTATGAGCAGGAGATCTGGTTCTAGTCCTCCCTTAGACACAGAAGCCAGCTGGATGTCTTTGGGCCAGTCACTCTCTCTGAGCCAAGACTGGAAAGTGGGAAAACATCTATTTACCAACCCAAACTAGACTAGCATGGTAGATTACAGACCATGAACATCAATAAAGAGGCCTTCATTCTGCAGTGGATTGGGCTGATAATATGTACCATAGACTAGTATCTAGCCAATCTTTGCTGATCTTGAAAAATCAAGCAGGGTCAGACCTGGTTAGTCCTCAGGTAGGGACTACCAGAAAATCCCAAAGGCAAGGGGCCAGACTGGGCACTTAAAAAAGGAGGCGGCAGCAATAAAGATATCACTTCCTTATTGTTATCAAGAAGCTTAATGGGTCTATGCAGCCACCAGCAGTTAAACTGCACAAAAAGGAAATTGTATCTTTATGTTTTCCATGCAAATAAAAACGGAAGTGAGCAAACTTTCTCTTTCATAGAGAGGCAAGAGACTAAAATCAGCCCTTCCCTAGCTTCCACTTGTGAAGAGCACAAAACATGTACATACTGGGACTTTGCTCATGGATCACCAGTCTAATTCTCATGCCCATCTTAGGTAGAATAACATTTTACAGGTTTCTAATCCGCAGAGGAAAGGCATGAGGTAAGTCTAACAATTTTTTTTTTTTTAAAGCTAAATATAATAGCCTCATTAACTCTGTTGCGGAGTTACTTCAACTTCCACAAATTCCAGGGTGGCCCAACTCTTTTCTTAAAAAACAAAAAAGGATTATGACAGCCAACGCAGACCTTTCCCAACACAAACTACAGGTACTGGACTCTGGCCCACCATGCTTCTAACAAGGCTGCAGCATTGGCTAACAATAAGCCCCCACCTCCCCTGAGCAGAGGGGGGCTTCTCTTACGGAACGCGTGCATGACAGAACTACAAAACTCCGTGGCAGCTCGGCTCACCGAAACTGTCAAAGAGTATACTCTAAGCACGCTAAGATCTCAACGCTACCGCTGATCTCCTTGAAGGCTGGGGAGGGTGAGCCCTGGAATTTGAACTCCAGGCGGCCCAGGCCTTTCCCTTTCCTGCCACCCCGTCCCTCCGCCATCCGGAGCGCCCACCAGCGGGAGGGCGCTGAAGGGGACCCAGGGGGCGCGGCGTCCCCACAAGGGCGAGCGGCGGAGGCGGTTCTCCCCGGCGTGGACTACCGTACCTCCTCAGTGGCGCTAGGGCAGTAGTACATGAGGACCAGCAAAGGGACGAGGTTGAAGACCAGGCCGCCGAGCGTGATGGCATTGGGGGCCAGCCAAAGCGGCGTGCGCTCTACCAGCCAACCCCAGTAACGCTGCAGCGGCGGCTCCAGCAGCGAGCGCCCGGACGCGCTGTAGCGGTGCTCCTCCAGGCGCTTCAGCTGCGCGGCGCTCAGCGGCTCCAGCAGCGCCATGGCGCCTTCCTGGTCGCCCGATCTTGCTCGGAGAGCCAAGCAACCGCGCGACGGCAACGGGAGGAGTCGGGGGCGGGGAAGCCCGCGGGGCTGGCTGGAGGCGGGCAGGAAGTTGCGAGCCGGGAACGGTGGCCGCCCCGTCCCGGGTGCGGTTGGGGAGCTCAGCGGCTCCGAAGCGGCTCCTCTCCCGCGTCCTGCTTCTTGCCGGCAGCTGTGGAGGTAGTGGAGCAATCGGTCGTTTCCGTGTCTCCTCTCACCTCCCGTCCGGTCTGGGGAAGACGGGGTGATTTCGGTGACCGACAGGCAGTGGGAGGGCGACAGCCTCGCGCAGAAAAAGTCGTGTCGATTCTGAGCGGATCCCGCAGGCTGTGGCCCATCACCTTAACTTCGTGTTGTCTTCCTATGGTTTCCTAAATAACCCCAGTTGTCTAGGTTTACATAACTCTAAACCATAAGTCCACAACACCACTAACCACATTTTAATTGTGTGAACTAGTCCATGTAGTGAGCTGACTGTGCAAATTCAGAAGACTGGGTTAAGCAAACCAAGGTTAAGTAAACCAATGCTAAGCATGTCTCCAATTCAGTGATTGCCATCTAGGAGCTCTTCCATGCGTGGCGGCACCTGCCAGTTGTGTGCTTTGATTTTGGTTGCACTCACATAATATGCTGTTAATCAAGCCACTTTTTACCTTGTGAACCCAGTTGCTTGGATGTGAACAGCACACTGAACCGCAAACTAGTGGTATATATGTAGTTTAACTATACAAGTATTTTAACATAGAAGGATGTGCATGGTACTAAACTATGTACATGGTTACTATAGGAGCATAACCTCCCTTTGCCCAATCCTGAGTCATTGCCTATACAAACTAGAAATGACAGGAGTTCATAGCCTAGACCAGTGTTTCTCAACCTCATGGGCTTTAAGATGTATGGACGTCATCTCCCAGAATTCCATTACCTGGAATCAAAACCAGCTATACAGGTTTTACAGCTAGATCTAGACTACCAGATCTAGGCAGCAAAAATCCACACAACTGTTATATGGCAGCAACAATTCTGAAAGTTGAAGTCCACACATCTTAAAGTCAATGAGGTTCAGAAACATTGCCCTAGACAACTAGACGGCACAAGGCTGAAGGAAGGCTGATATCCACATATTTGCCTTGCCTGTATATAAAGATCAGACTGATATGTTTCTCCAGAATTTTTCAATGTAAGCCTTGCGTTGCAATACAGTAGCCTCAGGCATATTAAGAAGTAGTTTCTCTATTCAGTCCCTTTGCTGCATGTAATACCATGATTATGACAGCTTGATTTAAAAGTTACTGTGTACGTTTCATAATAAAGAAAAGAATGACAGAATGCCAGTAACTCAAAGAGTGCTAGAATTTAAACCCTGAAGCACACACATTAGAGAGTTTGATTCCTGTGTTCTGCACAAGGCAGAATTTCTGTGCATGAATAGCTTCTTTCCTGTCTGCAGTGAAGCAACTTTTCTAGCAATATCATGTTTATGTCTATGAAACTCCTGCTGTAAGCAAGTCCCTGAATGCAGAGTTGAGCGTCTTGTATGTCACTGCTGTCCTAATGTGAAGTATAACATTAGACTGTGTTCCATGGTCTTTGGATGTATTTATGCAGAAAAGGGCTCCTAAACAATCAACTTTTTCTGAAGAAGGGGGAATTCTGTTACTTTGACTAATGCATATAGATTCTGGACTGCTCAATCTTTGTGATGCAAAATATATCTCAGAGCATACTTGGAAAGCATTACCTGGAGTCAAAACCAGCTATGCAAACTAAGACCACCAGATATGGGCAGCAAAAATCCACACAACTGTGACATGGCAGCAACAATACAAAAAACTCAAATACATGGTGATCTGGATTTTTGCAGCTCAGATCTAGTAGCCTTGCATGTGAACTTTGCCTAGCATTCCTCAACCTGGGCCTATTTGACAGAAATAAGGAAGCCAATCAGCCTGACTTCCTCCAAAAGACTTCATTCAAGTTTGGGAGATATGAGCTATCTCTCAATTGCAGTAACCATTCATCAAGTGAAGATTTAAAGTTATTAGTTTAAAAGCCAGATGTAAAGTTATAATACATTAAAACAAGTACTCTTCATACAGTCTTAAACACTGAAAGTGATTCCACTGAGCTTAATGGCATTTTTGTATAAAACATGCTTACAATTATATGAATAAGTGATAGCTATACATTAAATGCTTCATAACAAGTAATTGTTGCTATCTCCATTAATATGTATGAGTTGCTGTGCTAGAATTTGTCTACATGTGTGCTAACATATTCTGTATTATCAACCAGGTGGCTCTATTCTATTCCAAACTTCCAAATACATTTTGAACTTTTGTATCTTACCTAGCATTGTAGTGTATACACTGCATGTACCTACTAGTTGGTGGGATGCAGGAAACAATGCTAGCTTGAAAGGTAGTCCCCATATTAGAGACCCTGCCTTGCACAGAATAATGTAAACATGCTTGGGATAAAACTGGGCTTTGGCCAAAATGTGCCTAAACTGACCAGTACTGTCTTTACTATTAGCAGGGTATGTTTGCGTAAAGAAGTACATAGGTAAGAGTGAGCTTCTGCATACTTTCTTATATGAAAACGAGAGTTTGACATATGATGAAAACACAAAAGTTGGATGCAGTGGGTACTTAAGACGTATGTATAGTAAACAAGGAAAGATAGGATCAGGAATGAGTAAGTGCAGAACAAATGATAATTGTATACAAAAATTAGTGGCCAATAAGACAAAGTACATTGAGGAAGTTTAGTCATAGCAAGAGAGGGAGGACTGAATCGCAAAGCAAGTACATGAAGAAAGAGTGAATGTGTTGAGAGAGGAAGACAGAATGTTGTGTCTGGATAAAGTTTTCAAGATGTATGAAGCAATGTAATAGTAATGTATGAAGTGGTAAATGGGCAAGAAGAAAGCACAGAAGATTTGCAGGACAGAAAGGTGTGGAGAGACATAATGAGTGGAGTTGGTGCAAACTAGATTCACTTGTATAGTATTTCCTTTTCTTATCTGATGCCTTTCATTTTCCTTTCTTCTTTTCTGTGCTTGATACAACAGTGCTTACCCCAAAACCGAGTATCATAATAGATAGGAGTATATGTATATACATCTGCATCCCAGCCCATAATCCAGTGTCTGTAGTTGCAAATAAAAAGCAAAGAAATTTTAAAGACAGAAGAGCAGTGATAACTTAACATGAAACAAACATAAGAACCCCAAATATGTGGCTGGGTCATAAACACTTCAGCTTTATTGTACATCACAAAAAAAACCCCCTGTACTAGCCCAAAGAAATGGGGTTCACAAATGAACAACAGAAAAAAAAAACCCTTTTAACTGGAGATGCATTCAGCTGAAATAACTGTTAAATGCTGTAAATCATGTGTACGGAGGCAACATCTCAACCTATAACTAGTGTTATTTGGTTATCAAAAGAGGTACTGTAAGTTCTGATTGCATTGTTACTGGGTGTGGCAGGATGTGCTTTTCAAAAAAAAAAAGTATCTACCCATATAAATTAGAAACTAAAAAATGAGCTCCCATGCATATTTGTTTAGCTTGTCTTCTTTTCTGCATTAAAAAAGAGAGGGGAGAGAGAAGGAAACAGAAATACACAACGGTGTGGAACATTACAAAATGCAAGTAAGCATTAGCTTATTTCATTACAACTCCAAAAAGCAATCCATGCGTGAGTTTTTTTCCCCCCAGCAGCAGGAGGAAGAGGGAAGGGGCAATATATGGTGTAGGAGGACCATAGCAGAAGTGAGAGGCTGCAGAGTGGCTAGCAGTTTCTGGTGCAGTAGCAGAGAAGTGCTCAGGTCAGACTTTATTTTCTTCCAAGCTTGCTTGCTTCGATTTCTTTCATATAGGACTGGGCAATATGCGGAGGCACCCCTTGCAGGAGTAGTCGGAAGAACGAGAGCCCACCTAGGGATAAGACAATTATGAAAACAACCAAAAGGATAGGTTTGATCTTTATACCTGTGCACATGTGTGCATTTACAAAAGGAGAAATATGCCATCATTTTAGCAGAGCTTCCTTTAGTGTAAGTAGGTTTAGGATTTTTAAAATGGATCTCTCTCCAATTGCTACTTTTTTTTCTTTGTGTGTGAATGAAATAAATCCTTGCAAGAGTGGTAGGTCAGGAACTTTATGTTCCATTGACCGTTTACATTGTCCAGTGGATGGGGACTTGATGGATCCAGCATGAGGTTGCTTTGAGAATGCTGCTAATAATGACAAGTCATTCTTGTTGCAGCTGTAAAGTCTTCCGGTACTCATCGAAGACTCATAGTGTGAGTCGCCATACATTCTCCAAGCCAAACATGGTGAAGAAGCTTTGAAGTGAAGTTGCTGATCCATATTGTAATTATTGGAAGGAGAAGGAGAAGGAGAAGGAGAAGGAGAAGGAGAAGGAGAAGGAGGAGACAGCAGGATGCTGGAGATCCACATAGTGAAGGCCACCCCAAATAAGAACACCTGTTATAGCATCAAGAATATTCAAAAGCCAAACACCAAGGGCAACCCATCTCCTTTCTTCTGTAAACAATAATATTAGGCCTAATACTACATTTTAAACATGTCACTCTTTTTGCTTCCACATTTCTTCCTTACAATTCCAGTAACTGTGCTACAGTGAGATATAACCAGGGGCATACAGAGAGAGGGTCAACAGCATCAAAATGGTGGGTGCAACTGGGCAATCAAAGCCCCAACCCTTTTTAACATGCATCACATGCACCATACACACATAAAAAGAGATGGGACTTTGCCCATCTGTGCCAGCCATTTTGATGTTGATGACCTCCAACTACGGGTATCCCTGAGCATGACATTATTGAATTTAGTGACCTCCCTATCAATACTTTCACCACATTCTCCATTTGTCAGCTACTGAAATTGTGCTATCTAGGTGGGAAATGCTTAATATCACAACATGTTGCATTGGGAACTAATAAAACCTACCACCCCAGTAATCTAAGAATGTACATAAAGTGCCCACCCACCAGTGCAATATAGT